GTGTTATAATTTTTTCCTACAAAAAAAATGATATGTTATCCAAAAAATCGAGTTCACAGATTCTGAATATTGTACATTAAATATTATATATTTATTTTCAATGAAATTTAATTTTTGATTAAAAAACGCGAGAAAAGTTCTTCTCTCAAAGTGTTCGATTTTCTGTCAATTTTGTACAACTTAGCGGTAACTTTCAATCGAATACAGATTTTTTTTTTTGAGGAGATATGACATCGTGGAAGATTGACTTTTGTATAGCTTCTTTCACTTTTCTAAAAAATACTAATAATAGTGTACAACAGTATTGATAAGACACTCTCACAAAAAAACAATCAAATATTTGTTTGACTTTACGTTAAACCCAGGTCGAGAAGTACGGGCGGGTTCCGGCGGGAAAATACCGGAAATCGCTGGAATAGAGTAGCAGTATTTCGAGCGAAAAATTGTCAGATTTTTTTTCCGCTGACTTCCTGCAAGAAACGGAGGAAAGCTGACCGGAATTTACAGGAAAAAATACGAAAAATTTTCGACCGGAATACTACTACTCTGTTCCGACGACTTCCGGTGTCTTCCTGCAGGATCTGTTCTCCGAAAATATTGACCTAAGAATCAAAACTTTTAATTATGTTTGTATTTCTGATATTATGAATATATGTTTGTCCAGCCATTAAACTTCTTATTTTTTTCCATATATTTATTAAAATCATATTTAATTAATGTTTTTAATTAATATGTAAAATTGATAGTTTTGATATACATTTCTATCTTTATTTTAATAGACTGAAGAAGCAACTATTGATCAAGATATAACAAAAGAATATGCTCGACAACGAGATCATCTTGAACGAACAGTTCGAAGTCTTAAGGTAACACTTCATTTTAACTTCTTTTGTTTTTTTCATTATCTTTTTATTTTTTGTTTTCCTTTGTCAGTCTAAAGTTGATAAAGATTCTGATCGACATAAAATGGAAAATATTCGTATAATGCAAGTAAGTTTTCTTTACAGCCAAAAAAAAGCAAAAAAAGAAATCTTTTTTTGTATTTTATTATTATTTTTTAGGAAAATGTAACATTAATTA